CGAAAAGAAAATGTTTTGGAGTTGATTCATTCAGATGTTTATGGTCCTTTGAAAGTTAAAACACATAGTGGTGCACTTTATTTTGTCACTTTCATTGATGATTATTCAAGGAAAGTTTGGACTTTTATACTAAAAATTAAAGATCAAGTTCTAGAAGTATTTAAGCATTTTCAGGCCATGGTTGAAAGAGAAACAGGGCAAAAATTGAAGTGCATCCGATTAGACAATGGTGGTGAATACATTGGGCCATTTGATGAGTATTGTCGCAGCCAAGGTATTCGGCACCAAAAGACAGTTAAGAAGACTTCTCAATAAAATGGCGTTGCTGAGAGGATGAACCGCACAATTGTGGAAAGAACAAGGTGTTTGCTTTCACAAGCTAAATTGCCAAGATCCTTTTGGAGTGAGGCAATGAAGACAGTGGTTGACGTGATCAATTTGTTTCATTCCTATCCTTTGAATGGTGATGTTTCTGAAAGAGTTTGGACCGGCAAATATGTATCTTATGAGCACTTGAGAGTGTTTGGTTGTCGAGCCTTTGTTCACATTCCAAAGGATGAGAGGTCCAAGCTTGATAGTAAATCAAGACAATGTATTTTTCTTGGCTATGGGCGTAATGAATTCGTGTATAGATTGTGAGATCCAGTCGGCAAGAAAGTCATTCGAAGTCGTGATGTTATATTTCTTGAAGACCAAACAATTGGAGACTTTGGCAAATGTGATCAATCGAAGCCAAAAACTAGTAATCTCATTGATATGGATCCATCTCCTTCATCTTCAGTTGATGATGAAAATGGGGGAGATGTGCAGCCACCTATTGAAGATGTGGAGGATGGTGCTAATCCTAATGAAATTGAGCCAGAAATTGAGGAACAACATCCAACTCAAGAACCGCCACCACAACTTGAGTTGAGAAAGTCTACAAGGGACCGACAACCTTCAAGAAAGTATCCTCCGAATGAATTTGTGTTGATTTCCAATCAAGGGGAGCCTAAGAGTTACCAAGAAACAATTGAGCATACAAAGAAAGATGATTGAAAAAAGGCAATGGAAGAGGAGATGAATTCCTTACTTGAAAATCACACTTATGATTTAATGAAGTTGCCTAAGAGGAGGAAAATTCTGAAAAATAAGTGGGTTTTCAAATTGAAGAATGATGGCAAGAATTTAAGGTACAAGGCACGTATTGTTGTAAAAGGCTTTGGGCAAAAGAAATGTATTGACTTTGATGAGATTTTATCGCTGGTTGTGATGATGTCTTCTATTCGGGTTGTACTTGGCATGGTTGCAAGTATGAACTTTGAAGTTGAACAACTTGATGTGAAGACCGCATTTCTTCATGGTGATCTTGAAAAAGAAATTTACATGGAGCAACCAGCAGGTTTTGTGGAAAAAGGGAAAAAGAAATTTGTTTGTAAATTGAAAAAAAGTTTGTATAGCTTCAAGCAAGCCCTGCGGCAATGGTACAAAAAATTTGACTTTTTCATGATGAATAATAGTTTTTCTAAAACCAATTCGGACCATTGTGTGTTTGTGAAAATTTTTTCGAATGGTAAATTTATTATTCTTTTGCTTTATGTTGATGACATGTTAATTATGGGTCAAGATTCTATCATGATTAACAAGTTGAAGTTAGAGTTGAGTAAATCTTTTGCTATGAAAGATTTGGGACCGGCAAAACAAATACTTGGTATGAAAATTGTTCGTGATCGCAAAAAGGGGTTGATTTGGTTGTCTCAACAAAGATACATTGAGAAAGTTCTTGAGAGGTTCAACATGGATAAAGCAAAGTCGGTTAGTTGTCCACTTGTGGGTCACTTCAAACTTAGTTCGAATCAGTGTCTTACAAGTGAGAAAGACAAGGAAGAGATGCTGAAAATTCCTTATGGTTCAGCTGTTGGTTCTTTGATGTACGCCATGGTTTGTACAAGGCCGGATATTGCTCACGCCGTTGGTGTGGTGAGTCCTTTTCTCTCTAATCCAGGTAAAGAACATTGGGCAGCGGTAAAGTGGAATCTAAGATATCTTCGAGGGACTTCGAAGGTGTGTTTTTGTTTAGGGATGGTAAGCCGATACTTGATGGGTTCACAGATTCTGACATGACCGGTGATGTTGATTCTAGGAAATCTATTTCGGGGTCTTTGATGACTTTTGCAGGGGGAGCTGTGGCGTGGCAATCTAAATTACAAAAATGTGTTGTTCTCTCAACTACCGAAACTGAATTTATTGCCATTACGGAAGCTTGCAAAGAAGAGTTATGTTTGAAGAAATTTTTGCAAGAGTTGGGTTTAAAGCAAGAAAGGTATGTGCTTTATCGTGATAGTCAAAGTGTTATTCACTTGAGTAAAAATTCTATTTTTTATTCGAGATCGAAACACATTGATGTGAGATACCATTGGATTCGTGATGTGTTCGATTCGAAATTGTTACAACTCGAAAAGGTTCATATAAATGATAATGTTATCCCAGATAGGCAACCCAAGAGGGGGTGAATTGGGTTATTAAAAATTTCACAATATTAAAATTAACACAATATTCAGAATTTTAATAAATAAAAAAAAAACAGAATAATAATTATCAATATAAAAGTAAGAGAGATATGAGAGAAAATCAAACACTGAGATTTATAGTGGTTCGGCATGTCAGGTCTACGTCCACTCCCCAAGAAACCTCCTTAAGAATTTCTTTACTATTAATTGAATAAATACACCACCAAGCTTGTGGATTTGGCACAGGACTTACTTTTAACTATTGAGCCTCACTCAATAATAAATGCCTTACCTTTACAAAATCTCTCACCAAAATAAGGAATAAGAATAAGTGGTACTTAAATCCTCTTTTACAATTATTCTCTCATAAAGAGTGGATATGAAAGTATAAGAACAAAGGCTAGACTTAGATCTGAAAGTGAAAGAGCAGAATACAATATACTTTGAATTTTTTGAGCTCACAACAAATTTTCTCTTCAAGTTCTTGGTTTTTCTCCACACACAACACTTCTATTTATACACAAAAATATACTCGTTGGACGCTCCTTACTGACGTCATGGCTTACATAAGCACGCTCCTTGATTTTAAATAGTTAGCAAATGTTAATGATTAAAAAGATAAAAGTAAAACTAATTTTTTTATTTTTCTTTTTTTTTGTTTTTTCAAACATTGAGCCACCGTTTTTGTAGACAATTTAATACAAAGTTCACAACTTTCAATCAAGCAAATGATTTGCTCCATCTTGTTTTATTATAATATATAACTCCATCTTTTTCTTCTTGTTTTATTATAATATGATATAATTAATGTAGTGTAAAAAATTTTATTGCTCACGTGATGTATTCTATTTATATTATGCATTCTATATAATATTCTAATCAAATATTTGCATATATAGTAAAATCCCTTTAAGTAATATTTATAATAAATCTGATCGTATATATTATTTTTCTGTATATGTTGTAGAGATTTTAAATTAAATATAACCTTCCACTCCATTTGGATATATCACTTTTATCAAAAGAAGACAATTTATCAATATCACTTTTGTCAAGATAATACAACCAATCAATCAATTTTGTCAAAATAATATAATTAATCAATTTTAATTTTGTCAAAAAGTGAATAGTGATCAGTCTAAATTTTCAAAAAGTGAATAGTAGAGTTTTCAAAAATATTTTTATTTAAATAATATTTAACAAATATATATATATTTTAAACAGATAATATTTTGTGTCAAATAATATGTATATTAAAAAATTTAAATTTTTGCAAATAATATTTTAGATATCATCAAAATTAAATAATATGATTAACAGATAATATTTCAGATATGTTAACAAAGACTTTGTCGAGGGACAAACATTTGAAGTGTCGAACTTTGGCGGGTATGGTTGATGTCTCCACCTAAGTTGATAGGGGGAGAATTGTTGGGTATACATCCTTATTGGAGTATGTGACCTAATTAATTTATTAAAAGAGTTTAATTTAGTTTGGTGTTAGTTATAATATATTTTTATATATTATATCTAATTTGTGAAGACCCAATTTAATTTAATAATAACTAAAATTTTGACAAAACAAGTCCAAGTGTTAACAATATATATATAAATATTGTTTTGTCTTTCTCCACATATATAGCAGGAGCAGCTAATTGATTTTGGTGAGATAGGACTTGGGTAATCAATTCGGTGGACTTTGCTTTGTCGAGCAACAGTTTGTTTATCTTTGATTTGAAGTTGATTTGGATTATTATTTTGGGTCTTCTTTAACTTTGGTTTTGAAGATTTTTGTTCGTCTTTTTGGTGAGATCTTTCTTTTTATTTATTTGTGATTATTTGAAATTCACCTAAAAGTGATTTTGTGAGACCATTCGTGTCTCGTTTATAATCGTTTGGAAACTGTTTGGTTGATAGTCAAATTAGATTTCGATCCCATGAATGTACCTTACATTGAGGGAACCACGTAAAATTATTGTGTTACTTTTGATTTAATTTTTTCGCGTTAGTTTTTATTCTCATTAATTGATTTACTTGTGGAAAATCATATATTTTCCTTAACAATGATGAGATTGTATAGTAAAAATAATAATTACACAAAAATTATAGTCCAAATTCAATTTTTATATAATAAAATTTATATCTTAAATTAGTTTGAACCATCTTTTTTGTGTGCGCGAGCAAGCAATAACATTGTTGGAGATTACTATATTTTAAACAATAATACTATATTCATTGAATTTGAGTTTACTTGAATTGTTTAAATTTGTGCATGCTGATCATCCAGTCGGTCATCCAGGAAGACACTGGTCATCAGGGCAAATGAAATTAACACACTAGATGACAAAGGTGACCGTCGCAATTGACAAGAGTAATACTGATCGCCCGATCATATCATTTGGACAGAATTGGACAACCTCTATTTCAGTGAAGTAAACATTTTTCTATTTTAAATGAAAACAAATTATACAGAATTTACTACTTTTGAAATGAGAGACAGAGAGAGAGAATTCATTGTAGATGTCATATTACTCAATTCTTCATAACAGAGAGAGAGAGAGAGAGAGAGAGAATTCATTGTAAATGTCATATTACTCAATTCTTCAGAACAACCCAACCAAATCACACATTTCCAAGTTTTCCTTACCTCACTCATCAATTGTGAGCAAGAAGTAGTTTCTTACAAGTAACAAGATATACCAATTAGTACAACATTTTCGTTGTAAATGTCATATTACTCAATTCTTCAGAACAACCCAACCAAATCACACATTTCGAAGTTTTCCTTATCTCACTCGCCAATTGTGAGCAAGAAGTAGTTTCTTGCAAGTTGAAAGAAATGCCAATTGGTACAACATATGCTTTTAGAGTTCTTTTTAAATCAAATCTAGTCTTCTCCTTTCACCATTCTGCACCAAATAACGCATGTATTAGTATTAATTACCTCAGCTTTTAGAGCACTTTCAAGCCTCTCGAAACATTACCAAAACACTCATGTCTCAAAAAGTTTGGTTGTGTGTGCAAGTTTTTTTTTTTGTAAAGTACACAAAAACCCATTCTTGAAAAAAAATTCTGAACACAACCCACTAGTGTTTCGAAAAATACTATTAACAAAAAATGAAAAAAAAATAAAATTAAAAACACAACCAAACACAGCTGATACTACTACGTACCGTCGCTTTTCCTCTTTGAAGATCGATAGAAATAGAAGAACATGAATACAAATAGCAATGCAGCTGCTCCTCCCAAAACAATTGCTACTAATCTCCCTGAAGATGTACTAATTTGATTTGTTTCATTCCCTATTTATTAAGTTCAAATAAAACAAAAAAAAGTTTGTTACTAAAATATTCATAATGTTGATTAACATGTATTTGCAAAGTTAAAATTATGTTGAGATAAGAGTGAGAGAACTAAATCTCTCTCTCTTCCCTACCTTGATTTGAGTTGCCAGGAATCCCATTATTGTCATTGGAGCTAAAGCTAATGAAGCAGCTGTCCAGATATACTTCTCCTGAGAGTGAATTTCCACATTCATCTTGAGCAATTTGGACTGCATTGTTCACACACCCTCCACATTCACACCCTTCTAAGTTTCCTCCACACTGAGCCACCATGTGCATGCTCTCATAGGTCATGTCGATGAACCCATTAGCACTGCTCACAACATTGCTCTCTAGCGCTGCAAATGCTGCATCTCTCAGCTCTACAAACCCACTCGAGTCCGCTTTGGATTCACTGCAGGTCTTGTGTTGCAATTGCACCCTGCAAGCAAGCAGAGACGAACTCAAGATTCTAATTTAGAGGTGACAAACATACACATTAATCAAATTTTTGAAAAAAATAAAAATATCAAATTTTATTTGTACAAGAAACCCTTTCTTAATAATTTGATTCGTTCAAATCAGATTGTTTCAAGTAACTACGTTATTTTAATATATTTATTTAAAAAAAAAAAAAGCAATAAGTATAATATTATAAACAAATCGTCCATTTGAATGTGAAAAAATTATATGACCAAGTTTATTAAATCAATTTGTTTTTTTTTCTTCTTATGATCAGAATCTAAGAAATGAATTAATCAAATTATTAAGTGGGATCCATGATTAGTTTTCACGGAAATGACTGCACTGTAAAACCCAAATTCTTAACAAAAGTAAAGCCCAGTCCAAATAAAAAAATAACATAAAACTACTTAAATTTCAAAAGGGAAAAAAAATAAATAAATCTAGAAGGGTTGTATAGCTTAGACATAATTAATAGTTAATACTGCAGGGCTATGTCCATCCTTACCAGGAAGTCTCAAACCCGTCCGCCTTGTAGTTCAAGTAACATCCAGAAAGGTGAATCCGAGCCGGAATGGCCTTGCCACAGAAACCACTTGACATGTCAGGGAGCCCGCTCACGCAGCCATGGCAGTCGCCGTTGCTGAGATCAATCCTGCACTGGAAGAGACCGGAGATGGCAATTTTTTCGTCGCCTGTGCTGGTTTGGTAGAACTTGGATCTCGAGGACTGATCGACAAGTTCTTGAAAAAGAGATGACAAGATTTGTTGTAGAGACCCTTTAGGATCATTGAATGTTTGGTTTGGACAGTGGCTGTAGATCAAATTGTTGTGGCTTGAGCTGGTATTGAGATATGATAAACTATTTCCAAAACAAAGATTGAAAAACAGAGGGAGGGAGAGAAGAAAGCAGGCTTTTGATGATGAAATATCCATCTGGGGATTGTGTTTTTCCCAATTCAAGATGGTTTTTCCTGTTGTGAATGTTTTGGGATTGATTTTGTAGCTTGTGGAGTTGGGAATTTGGGCATTTTTTTTCTCTCCTAACTCCATCTAACCTTGGAACAACTTGAGTTTAGAATAGTGTTCACAAACAGACAAAACCTGAATCTACATAATATACAAAAGGAAACTAAACTATCTGAGAAAATGATAGTAGCTGAACTTCAAATTTGACTTTGAACTCAAGTTTCATTTTAAATAGTGGTAATGGGAGTATTGAGTAATATGCATTTGGAATCGAATGATGTGGTTGAATTTTTTTTTAAAATTATTAGTTGAAAAAAAAAATAAAAATAGAGGACAAATTACATTCATTTCCATAGTTTCTTCTTGATCCTAGCATGTATTTATATTATCTTTTATACTATTATATAAAGTACACAGCTCTGTTGGTGTGAATAGTATTCTTTCATTTCCAAATTGTTGTTTACTACACCTACATAACTACTTCAGTTTTAATTTTGAATTTCAAATTTTGATAATTTTTCAATTTCTTTCACTCTTTCTACATTCAACATATTGATTTTCATAGAATACTTATTGAGTTTGCACACCATCTACTTAGTATTAAAATCATGATATAAGCTCAGCAAAGTTGTCTTTTTTTTTCTTTTTTTTTTTTAAAATTTTATTTTAGGATTAATTTTATAGGTCTAACCCAACTTGAACAAATATACCTTTTATTTGTATTTATCTACCATTTTCAATTGTTTGATCAGAGTTGAGGATTCTTACCTGCTAGATGTTGTACCAATACATATAGGCCTTAGATTAGCATTTTTATAATTAATAGTCGTAGGAATATGAATCTCTTTTAGTTGTATATCATATCCTATGTTTAAATTGAGTTAGAATTATAAGAAGAGGTAAATAAAATATTACCCAATTCGATATTTGTTTAAGGTGATTGAAATTGATAAGATATGATAGGACATGGGACATCCAAATTGACCATAATACCCCTATTATAATTAATATAAAATTTTGCACTAACATGTGTTATAATTTTTAAAAAGCAAATTTCCCAATTGTTGCTCCGCATCCATTTCAATTCATTTGAACAAAATTTAATCCACTTTTTTTAATAGAAAAAATAAAAAAATCATTCAACTATAAAATTTACATATATATAAGCAACTATTAAAAAAATATAGATATATAGTCAGGTTAATTTGGTCATTTGATAAGTTAGTCCAGACTTTGGGTTAGTCTCCCAATTTATATCCCACTCTCCTCGGTGGGATTGAATAGTCCATTATATGTGTGATACCATATCTAGACGGATTATTAGTTTATATTTCAATTTTTTTTATCAAATATCGAATTAATAATTTTATTAGACTATTAGGCAAATCTCAAGCACATGTCCACCCAAATAAACGTGGCCATTCATTATTATTATTATTATGGACTCTCTCTCTCTCTCTCAAATAGAACCATTTATATGATGGACTTCACGTCTTAGTTTTCTTTTTTTTTAAAATAGGTTTTTTTTTTTTTTTTTTTTGAACTAGACATCTTGGCTTTGTTTGGGATGTGAGTTGACTTTTTAATTTTTTTGCTAATTTAGGCCTTGTTTGGCAAGTGGCTTTTTTAGCCAAAAAGTCACTAAAAAAAACAAAAAGTCAACAACCCATACAAAAAAGTCAAAGATTCTCTTTTCTCTCTACTTTTTGCACATCTTTTCATAAAAAGTCAAAAAGTCATCCCAAATATACTAATTTTTTTTAGCTCATATTTTAGCCAAATAGCCAAAAAGTTACTAAATTAGCATGTTCCCAAACGAGCCCTTAGTCTAGGGTGAAATACTTGGGATGAGTTTTTGATTTTTTTGACTTTTGTAAGAGAAAAAATAAAATAATTATAATTTAGATATGACATTTTATTTTTTTGTTGTTATTTTAGCCTTTTAGCCTCCCAACTTTGGATGGCAAATGAGGGGTTAGCTCTTTATAGTGTTTTGGGAGATTCTATTTGCACTTAAAATTTTTTTAAGTACGCCTAATTTCTCAATACGCCCTATTCAATTACTTAAGGCCTGTTTGGTAATGTTTACGTTTTCAGTTTATATTTACAAAAATTTTATAAACTAGTTTTTGTTTATTTTTGTTTATTTTTAGAAAAACATAAACTACAAACGTGTTTGGTTTAGATAAAATGTTTAAAAAAAATTAAAAATATAAAAAAGAGTGAGAAATGGCAAGTGGTGGCGGGTGGCGGGTGGTGACGAGTGGTGGCGGCGGAAGACGGTGGTGAAAAATGATGGCGGGTGGTGGGTGATGGTGGCGGTGGTGGAAAATAGAAAGTTCTGAAATGAAGCAAAAACCAAGCAAGCATGCATAAGACGGTGGTGAAAAATAGTGGCAGATGGCGGCTAGTATTGGGTGGTAAAAAAAAAAAATTGAAAACTCAAAACGGAAACACATTTTTTAAGTTTACATTTTTTGGTCAAATTTATAAATTGAGACCACTGATTTATAAATTAAAAATTTACCAAACAAGTTTTTATTTGAGTTTTTAAAATTTTTGTAAATATAAATTGAAAACGTAAGTGTTACCAAACGACACCTTAGGGTTCTAATTTTTCTCAATACACCTTGTGTTTTTTTTTTGGGGGCCAAATTATCCTTCAAATATACCCAAATAATTAACAAATCAAAAATTTCAAATTATACCACTTTAAAAAACACTTTTAAAAATAAATGATCTCAAATTACACCACTTTGAATTATAGATGATTGGAATATGTAAAACAAATGAAAAACAAACGTTCAAAATACCTAGATTGTCTGTTGAGGTAATCGAATGCTAAAATGTTATTTGATAGGGATCATCGGGTATTCCATACGTGGTAATGGAATGTTAAAATGTTATTAGATAGGGATCATCAGATATTCCATACAGTGCATTCATCAACAAAAAATTCAATAGCCACAACCCAGTAGGTTGTAACATAAATGCCAGAACCCTCTAATGGATTGGATTTTGTGTAGGTTGTAACAATAATGTCTCAAATTGGATTTGTTGGTGCATCCATTGATTGAAGTTTTGGGTTTGTATTGTCCTAAAAGGGTGCTTATGTTTTGGAGAAGATTCTGATTTATATTTTGTTCATAAAATTATGCCATTGAAGATTTTGATTTATAGTTTATTCTTTGGTGTTTTGAAACTTCTTGACCCTAAAATCCATTTCTTCCATCAAACCCTCTCAATTGAATATGTATAAGTAATTTGGGTATACCATAAGAAAAACGATAACATTTTATTTTAAGATTTAATATGTATTATCCTTATTAGTAAATTTATATTAGAATATAATAGGAACTAAACGTTCAAAATTTTAAATAATATACTAAGAGGGTTGGTATTAGCACTTATCTAATTTCTTTGAACCATCCATTTCTTTGAACCTCTACCCTAAATCCTAAAATTTAATAAAATTTCTTTAAACACTCCACTTAATATTAATTTTATCTATATTCATAATATTATCACACCCAAGTGCACACTTATCTAATTTTGCGCACCCTCTTTTCTTTTTCTCTCAGTAAACGATGAACAATTGAGAGACGATTGAAAACAACAAACGATTGAGAGACGAATAGAGTGTCCTTTCTTCTCCTTCTCTCATAAATGATGGTCTCTTTCTCCTTGTCATTGTGAACAACGGTATCTTAGTTGGAAATCTCTTCGACGGTCTCCTTCTTCTTCTCTCAGGTAGCCTCCAACTCCCCATTACATATTATTATTATTATTGCTTATTTCAGGGTAAAACCATCAATACAGGGAGTTTTAGAGGGAAAAACCCTCAAAAAAAAAAAAAAAAAAACCAAAATAGGGGAAAAATCCTACAAATGGAACCGTTCAGCATTCCAGTGTCAAACAAAATGTTTATATTCAGCACTGTATTACTGAACTAAATGTCTTAACAGTCGGCAAACCAATACTGAACCAAAAATGACTTAGAATCGTAAATGCAAAATAGATAACCTTACCAATGGAACGCCAACCTCATCAAAGTTGTTGTCATCGCTCTCCATTGCTCTATAAGTATAAACTGTTAGGTTTTATTATTGGCAATCCCGTCTAACAAGGATTACTTTAAGAAGTTGATTTTCTTCCAAAACTAGGATATCCAAAAGTAATTGGATTTCTTCCAAAACTAGGATTACTTTTGGATTTTCTATAAATAGTTGGTTTTCTCCCAAAACTATTTAATTCCTCCAGATCTTCTTTTTGGTTCTTAAGGTTTATATCTGGGGATACTTTGTGAGTTTTCTTTGATGTTTTGATTGAGTATTCAACTCATGTTTTAAAGAGTATACATCAAAGGTCTTGTTTGTTCTACAAAAGAAAGAGTTATTCTTCGGTGGATTCTGAAGAATTTGAGCCTGAAGCTTTGGTGGATTCCGGGGTGGCTCATCGTCAAGACAAATTCCTGAGAGGTGAAGACGGGTTGGAAGAGGCAATAGAGAGTTGGTTCAATTAGGCGTGGATTCGCTAGGTAATTGAGAGTATACCTGTGTAATTCCTTTAAATCTTTTAGTGGATTGTTTTGTGGCTGTTGCTCGTGATTTTTTGATCACAGTTGGAGGTATCCAATTGTGGTTTTTTTCACGTAAAATCGTTGTGTCTCTTTGTCTTGATTTTGATTGGGATTGTAATATTCTGCTTAAAATTAACATAATCACAAATCAACATCTAGGGGATTTCTAGATTTTTCAATGGTATCAGAGCAGGGCGTTCTATTTTTTTTTAAAAAAAATTCTTTTAGAACGAGATCTTATTTGATTTGTGATAATGGATACAATTCGTGAAGGAAATTCTATGGTTCGACCACCCCTACTTGGCGGATCCATATATTTTTTTGGAAAGCTCGATGAGATTTTTTTTAAAATCTATTAATGAAAAAGTTTGGCAATCCGTATGAATGGGTGGACTGAACCAACAATTACTGTTGATGAGTTACAATCCCCAAACCAATTGATAATGGGACACAACT